AACAAAATATGGGTCTGGTTGTATCAAAAATTATTTCAGTTGCTTAATTGTTATATCATTGTCAGATGTACATGACGCGAGTTACTGGAATAAAAGTGAGCACCAGTAAACTTTCAGATAGATTGGGCTCTCCAGGTGAGCTGCTTTCCTGAATGAACTATAGTGGGTGTTTATAATAATCATGGAACTTAAAGTGTGGGAGAAAAAGGAAATGAGTAAGGCTCCTAATTTGAGCAGTGATACAAGAGATAGCAGTGGCCTTTTGTGACTCATAATAAAAGGAGTTATGACTTCAGGAGCCAGCTGAAAGCTGTGGCTCAGTCCCAGAGGGTAAAGTTTTCCCATTGCTGCATATCCTCACACCAAGCCATCTTTAATCTCTTGGTATAGCTGGCAAAAGAGTAAACTGTGCAATTCTCTTGTTTCAGGATGAAAAGTGCTTAATGATTCCTTGACCTGTGATCTCTGGGATGAAGGAAAATTAGGTTACTTGTTAATTTATGTGTTTTTCTTTTTTTCCTTGAGAAGTGACAAAAAAGCCCTCCATAAGTTGTTTGAATTATTTTCTTTCTTCATACATTGTTAAATGAAAGAAATAATCTGACCAACTGATTTTCAATTTCTAAGTGAAAGTAAATGAAAGTGTGGATTGATTCTGACTTAAATAGGAAAAGAGCAGCATTCAAATTTTTACTTGGCTTTTTGGATTTGTTTTCTTTTTTCATACACGATTGAATAAATTTTACAATGTATTTTTATACTAAACCTAGAATTTTACATATAACTTTTTTATTTTTTACTTTACAACTACATTTGGCAGCTTTGTTTTTCTACTCATAGTCTGAAAGAGAATAAAACAAAATATAGCTTTCAAACTGACAAAGCAGGCCTACCTACAGCTTTTCATTGAGATTATAAAAGCCCATCAAAGCATGAGCTCTGCATCCTTTTACAAATATTTTATTTTACTCCCTTCCTGTAAGCAAAATATGCAAACCAAAATTTAAAAAATGCTCATCAAAATGAAATGTATGTTAATGAGTCATAACTGTCAAACAAGCAGTTCTTTCCTTTTGATGATTGAAATAATTGACTTTGCTAAAATGAACATTCACACATAAGTGGTTGTTGCTGCAGGATGTTTATTTCAATTATGTCCCTAAAAGCAGGACACCAAGAAATAAAGTGACCTGGGTTTAATAGATTTTCATCCATCCCTGCTCATCATAAGCACAAGATGTCAAAGTCCTGTGGAACTGTCTAATACAAGTTTTTTAAATTTAAAGTTTGTGTTTGGGAATTTTGAGTAACTCCTTTCTTCAAGGCCAGAGCTCCAATCTGTACCGTGAGCTCAGACCAAAACTGAAACCTGTGCCAATGCTTGCTGCAGATGTATCTAATATGTGACTTTTATAGGATTTGATTCCTTTCTCAGAGCCAGGTTTCACCCGTGATGATGTTTATCTGCAGGAAGAAGTGTAGCCTTGTGCTAGCAGTCCTTTGCCCAGGTTTCCTTCAGTGCTTTTTATGTTGGGTTCCTGGCATCTAGCAGAATTATCTGAGTTGAGCAGATCAAAGGGTAAAAACTGAGCAAGGAGGATCTGTTCATCTCATTAATGGAGGGCTTTATTCACCTATTAAAAACAGCAGCCCTTTGGAGAGCAGGGCAGGAAAATCACCCAGTGCAGTGTGAAAATCTGATAGCATTAGGGATGAATGGTCCTTTTACAGTGGGGGAGGTAAAATAAAACCTGCAGCTGTGCAGCAGGAGCTCAGCACACAGCAAGGAGCACAGGACAGCTCCTTAGCCCAGTCCAGCTAGGGGCTCTCACACATAGATCTCCCCTCCAAATAAATTACTTTCCCTTTGGATCAGTGAGTCATCTTCCAGAAACAGAGGGAATGACTACATCTAATGTGAGGAAAGGGTAAGGAACACGTCAGTGGAGTTAAGAGGGGAAAGGAGACAGAATTAAACCATCACTTTTGGCAGCAATGCACAGTTTGATGAAATTAGGCACAACATGAAACTGTGCCTCCAGAGAGCCTGGGTGAATTTGAGATCTTTTAGAAAAAAAATAATATGAAGCCTCTTGCTGTGAGGAGTAAGTAGTTGTACAGCGTAGTTTTGAGGCATTTCTACTGAAGGCAGAAAAATCATAAAATCTCTTCAGTGAAAAATTATATCTATGGGGAAAAAAAAAAAAAAAAAGGAATTTACCTGTACTAGGCTAGAAATTTTATTTTTCCAGTGGGATTTTTACCAACACCTTACCTGTTCAAGCAGTTTAGCTTTCATTTCCTATCACTTTTGGCTGACATACATCTGTAACAGCTGTTTCTGAATTTTATCTAACTAGTTTAGTAATGGTGAATGTTAACTGGTTGTGGCTGCAAGCAGGCTGAAGCACCAGCTCATACAATATTTGATGTCCAGTTTGCACTCCTTTTCTTCATCTTCCCTATTCATTACTTTTTTTTGTTGCAATTCTTGCTGTCTGAAAGACCTTCCCCGTTTAATTTTTGTGCCGTTTTATTCTTTTGCTCATGGCACTGTAGGGTAGCGAGGTTTTTTATAACTCAGACCTTTTTCCTGCAGAGGGACAGCGCGATCCGTGCGAGGCTCCCATCCATCTGGTGAGGCACAGACAGCAGCTGACATTGGGGCAGGCCTGTAAGTGGAGCACTGAGAGCAATTAGCATTTGAATTAAAGCTACCTGTGGATAACAACAGGTGATTACCCTATTTAACAGCTGTTAAGTGGTGTTATTTGCCAGCTATAGACTGCGGAGTGAGTGAATTGTGTGCATACAAATGGGAGTTACTGTGAATACAAACGAAGGACGTTAATTAAATAATATTTTTTAAATTGCAATTGTGAAACATAGAGGTGGACTCAGAACAGGTAACCTGTAGCAAAAGAAAGGGGTTTGGAAGTGTATAGAATGCAGGACAGCAGCTTCATAAAGGCTAAACCCCTCTGTTTTGGCAGTCAGCGTTTTGTTCTAGAAACAGAAAAGCAAAGCTTGCTATTACACTGATTCAGCTTCTAGGAAAACAGAGAAAATAGTAAGAAATTAAAGCATGTAAGATTATTTTCTCCTTCTGTTTTATCTCTGCGTTTCCAACAAGGCTTAATCAACCTGCGTGTTCTCTGGAAAGCGCGGCGCTGTTCCCTCCGCGCGTGTGTGGCAGAAAAGCTGCTCCGGCCCGCTCCCTTCTGCTGGGGGCCGAACGCCTTTTGGGCACATTTGCGCGGCATGCGGCTGTACAACATCCCCTCAAACCCGTGTGGGGTCTGTGCCACCGCTCTGCCTCGTGTCCTGCTGCACAATGTCCTGCTGGCTCTGCCTGCACCTTTTCTGTATGCCCTCTCCTTTGCTCCAAAGTTTTTCCTGTGAACCCCTTCTCCAAGGGCATGGATTTTCAATGACCTTGTTTTAAGACTTCCCAAGGCATGTGAAGGTAATGCATCTACCAAGAAAGGCTGATGAGATTTCTGCTTTGAGTATTTGCTTGCACTCCACAAGCAGAATTATTTTATCAGCTATGATTGGTCTCGTTGCTACTCCAGAACTGCTGGAGCTTTGTGTAAGTGCAACTGTCACAAATTACAAGATGAACTTCTTCCCTGTGGCACAATTATCCATTCAGTTAAAAAGCTCTCATGCCTGGTGTGTGCATATTTTCATTGCATTAGTATGAATAGAGAAGTCCAATTAATACACATAAAGATGTAGGCATTCAGTGCTTCCACAGTACAGGAATGCAGGATAAATACTCCAGCTTAGAAGGGATCACTGTTTTTTATTAATGAGAGCTGCCTGATTAAAGCATTTGCTGTTTTAGGTATTTAAACTGAAACTAAATGCCTGTTAACAGTCTGATTCTGGCCAATTGCATGCTACATCCAGCTAGAAAATTATCATACTGACAACCTTGTTTAACTGGAATTTGATGTGGTTCAGAACGGAATCCATCTGCTATTAAGAGGCTCATAATGACTTACAGAATTTTAAGTTAAAGCACCATAACCCCTCAGTCATAGCTGCAATGCAGAAGGCTTGGACTGTTTACAGATGAGTCCTACGCCATCAAAGCAGTTATTTGAATAATGTTCAGTGAGGGCTGGTTATATAAACACCTTCAAGTATGTCCTTTTGGAGGGTTGCTCAGGGATCATAATCTGAATGGATGATGCCTATCCATTCTTCCCCTGACTTTAGGCCAGAGAGAAGCTCCACATTTGAGGGCAGACTGTACATAAAATATACATCACTCATATTTTCTCAATTCTTTTGGAAAAGGATATATTTTTTGGAAAATGCAGGAAATTATATATTTTTTGCAGATAGCTTCCTGTTACAAGAATATAGAAAAGTTACAGAAATTTGCTGCCAACCAGCCAGTACTTTCTAAAGCCACCAGCCCTAAAATAGTGACAAAATCTGCATTAGTCCAGGCACTTTTCAGCATGCACTGAGCTCTTGTGCTGGCCAGGTTCTTTACTTTGCTGTATTTTACAGCTGCAGGACACTCACCCACTGTGCAGCATCCTTGCTATCAGCCCATGGGCATCATGGCTTGTTTCAAGATTAGTGGGATCAGCACCATTTCTCTTTTTTCCTTTTGTCTCCTGTGCTGGGTGATGGGTTTTGTGTTTGGAGTTTGTTGTCACCAACAGGATGGGACTGCTGGGGTAGTTCCTTGAGCTTTATTTGCAGCCTCAGCCTCATTTAATGGTTGAAACAATAGAAAGATGTCAAATGCTCATGTGCAGGCAGCAGCAGCTGAAGATTTCTTTGTTTTTGTAATAAGAAATTTTCTAGCCAATAGCATATTGTACTCACCAATAGTGCTATTGTTTAATGTCCTTGCTATACCATTGTAACTTCTATTTTCAGACTTTGCAGCTACAGCCAGCTCTCTGTTCTTTCTGTTTCCTAGGCCTGCTTTTACAGCTTTCTGGAAATCTCTTTACTTTTACTATTTCCCACAGGTATCTTGGGTGAACAGGAGGTCTCCTGCCACAGGAAGAGCAGTGACAAAATGAGAAGAGGTGAGTGTGCCTCTATAGGACAGGAAATAACACAATGCAGACATGCAGCTCTTCCAAGGCGAAAAGAGAATTTTTAAATTTCTGACTCCAACATTTATAGATTTTTAAAAGTGGCAGTGGATTGGAGGGTGACAATGTCACATCTCCAATGACACTGGACAAACCAACAGTCCATCAGGTTTCTCCTCCTCTATAAAACAATGCAAAACAATAAGTTACTTACATAAAATATGTGAGAAAATTTGTTACAAGAATATAAACATCAGAAGGCTTAGAAAAATTTTAAAAATCAGGGTGACAGTGGGTATTGAGCACAGCCAGGGCAGTTGAATGAAGCACAGCACAACACTCCTAGTGCTGTGGCTGGGAGAGGAAAGCCTTGCTAAAGCTAAAGCAGCTCCCCATGGGCAGCTCTTGGCAGTGCCTCCCCACGGCACAGTGGGAGCCAGAATCCATCCTGCCTCTCTGATGCCTCCTTCCTGCTAATCTGTGTCTGACAGGATTATTTCACACAATGCAACCCCAAATCTGTCTATTTAGAGATAACCAGATAAAGTAAAAATATATCTAGAGACAGCTTGAGATTTTTTTTTTAATTAAAAAGGAATTGTTTAAAGTGCAGAGAGAATAACAGTGTGTTCTCAATCAGGGACAAGCTTTAGATTCAATATCTGATGAATCAGTGTGTGAAGTGAGAATTCAGTTTAGTACAGACTTAAAGCTGTTTCCTACCCAGGACAAAACGTCATTTGTCTCTAAAAAGTCATGAGACAAAGGAACCCTCAAAATAACCTTGTTGCATTGCAAAAACGTGAAATTTTTCTAGGGGGAGCACAGTATTTCAACACTGTGACTGATAAAGCTCTCAAAAAGATTGTCATTTCTGTCAGTTACATATCCACATGACTTGCAAATGTGCAAAGCTGATTCATAAACTTAGTTGTTTCTTAATTATGACATTAGGCTGCAAAGGAAATATAGTATGTTGTAAATATTTTTATTTGCTCTCTGTTGTTGTGTTTGGCCCATCTTGGCAAAATATAGAAAATGCAGGTTCATATTAACTAACAAATTACTAATATATGAAAGAAATATGGCAATGCTGGTACTTTATTAGAGCCGCAAATCTTTTTTTTATTATTATTTTGGCTCGAAAACCTAATAAATAAAGGATGAAAGAAACATCACCTAATTAAGGTCCTGCATTGTGATGCTAGAACTACTGGTAGAATAGCTGTTTAACAAGATGGTAATGAATGTTCAATTGTCACAGCTTTGGAAGGTGTTACACAGTGGTTTAATATATTACTTCTTTTATTCATAATTTCTTTAAACAATGCTTAATATCAGTCATGTTTGTGTTCAGTTGTTTCCAATATTTTACAGGAAAAAGGAGGGCTCCAACACAGGTTTTCATTATGTAAAATTTAACATCCCAATGAGTTTGAAAAGTGAGAAAACTAAACCTTATTAAGCTACTGGGGTTTTTTTCCCAGTGCAATAAATAAACTAAAATTTATTAGTAAATAATACAGGGAATGCATCAGGCTGAGGAGGATTAAGTGTTCCTTTCAGAATAGAGACACATTCTTCAATGTTCAGATGCCCAGGGGTAATGTTTAATTAACCCACTCAGTTATAAATTTATGCAGACAATTCTTCATCATTATAAAGCCCATAGCAGAAAATGCTTCAGAAATGATCCTCTCTCAGACACCCGCTAACATCAACTTGCCAAGTGTTTCACCAGAAAACCATTGCAAATAAGGATGGTTAGTTAAGGGCTCAGGAGGTCCTTGGAATATTTTTATTTTCATTTGCTGCTGGTGTGGTGTGTGTTATCAGAGACTTGTCAAGCAAGCCATCATTTTGTCCAGACTCACAGATTGGTTCTAGGTAGTCCTTCCCTCCCTTTCTTTGCTCATGATGTCCTGCCCAAGTCCCCAAAAATGATTCTCACATCAGACATGGCCCACAGGGCAGAGCTGTCCCACAAGAGCACAAACTGGGGACATAAACCCATCACCAACCAGACAGTCTTGGCCATTCTGCCTGATTTCTGATATGCAGAACTGCACCAAAGTTGTGGCCATAATTTATAATTACCCTTTGAACAGTGTGAGCTGGCCATGTTCACAGGATATGTAGCTGTTGAGTCTCATTAAAGCAGGTTTAATATGGGAAGGAGATGGAAAGAGAGGAAAGTCTCTTGTGTACACTTACTGCTTTCCTGAACTACCCAGAGCCCACTGTTTAAATGAAATCTAATCCAAACTGGGCAAAGTGCATTTGGTGCTCCCTGCTGAAACCTTCCAGAATCCTTAAACCATCAGCTCTTGTGGATCACTGAATACCTGAATGAATTATTTTCAACTGATTTGGCACCACTTCAAAGGAACAGATGGCTCCGGCTTTACTGCAAAAACAATAACTGCAGCAACAACAAAATAATCTGTGATTCTGCCTGGAACCTATTTAAATATAAGGGAGAGCTCTTTGACCATCTTACATTCCTGACAATCACCTCAAGGAAGAAATCTATTTCCAAGAAAATCACATTATAATTTTCTAAGCAAAGTATCACATCCATGGAGCAGTTGTCTGAGACTGAGCTGTCATGGATGAGTTTCTAACAGTGCCTCCCCAGCAGTACAGCAGCTGCAAGGAGAGAGATTGTGAAAACATGGTGTTGAGGGACTCTACCAAAGCTAAAAATACACTAATAGATGTTACAAAGGAAATGGTAGAAGAAGAAGAAAATGGGGGCTAAACTCCCAGAAGCACAAATGATGTGATTAGGAATATGCAGCAAAAGCAGAACAGATTTCAAATAGCCAAAAATTGTCCAGACCACCACCCTCTTTCTTTTAGAGAATGTTTTTACTGGTCATGGTCTAGAAGTGCTTGTTATAAACCCGTGTGCAGTCTGTCTTTGGGAATAGGATTCTCTTGAATTTCCCTTTTAGTCTCTAATATTTCAGCCTAGGAAAAGCAATATAATTGACAAAATAATTTTCTGCTATTATTGAAAAAGAAATAGTCAGATATACAGGATTAACATTAGGGATAAAGCAATAAATAGGGCTCATTGTATTTAATACATACAGCATTGCAAGTTTTAGGGGAATATATATAAATATATATAAAAATGGCATTCATTAAAAACTAGACCTGTCCCTGTACAGACTAGCTGTCAAACATTAATATGAAATCTCATTTTTTTCCTATGCATTTCTATTTTTAAATCCCAAGTTAATTCTGCAGAATACTGGTATATATTACAGAAGAGATAATCTTCTGCATACAAGACCTATGCCAGTGTCAGTTTTCTGGCTTTTCTGGGCAACTCTAATTATTGGGAGTGTGCTACAAGAAGAAATATTTGGAGAGCTACTTTAGCTGAGGCAGTACTTAAACATTTACTTCTTGGCTTTTCAGCTGCTTTTAGCCTGTGCTGTCCCTTCTGTTCAGATGGTGAACAGGGTGGGGAGAGGATCCTGATTAAATTCAGCATGCTGAGGATTTGTCTTCTGGTCATTTTTCAGCTAAATTTGATTCCTGATCCAATCCATTGCACGGACCTGATGATGGGAGTGCTGCACATGGGGAAGGGTAACCCCTAACGAGCACAGAGTCTGTGATTCAGCTCTGCCAGAGAGTGTCAGGCTGTGGCTGGCATGGATAAATAAATGTGTTTCTCTGCTCCTGAGTCAGGGAGAGCCAGGCTCACAGAGTGATTCCTGCTGGACACCAGTGGCTGTGCATGGCACGGGGGAGGCTTTGGGGAAGGGCTCTGCATGCTGAGGGGGTTCTGTGATTGCTGCAGCAGGCAGGGCTGGCAGGGCAGGCAGGGCAGGCAGGGCAGACAGCTCCTGCAGCTCCTGCAGCCTGGCTGTGAACGTGGCCTGCTTTCTCACTGAGGTGCAGCTGCTGTTTAACTGAGGGCTTGGAGAGCCCTGAACATCTGTCACAGAGGCAAACAGGTGGAACCCAGCTGTGGCCACAGTTGCTCTTACAATTCTTGGATTATATTAAAACCTCTGAGGTGCTCCTTAGATTCCCTGTGGAAAGCACATTCCTGGTATGTTAACATATTGCCCTCAGCCTGTAGCCTGGTCCCTGCTCAGGGAGGGTTGCATTTTTCTGTTTGCACAATAGAAGCAACAGCAAGGAGAAAGCACCCCTAGGTTCTAAATAATTATATTTGATAAGTGTACACAAGAAGCTTGACTGCACTCTCAGCTCTGATCTGACTGATTTCTGGCAGCTGCTTTACCCTGACGCATGGAGATCAGCCTTAGTGTTCACAGGATTCTTACAGGGGCATTTTTTTTCCCTGTGTGATGAACATGATGGCAACAATTAGCAATCAGCAAACAGCCAGTGGCATGATTACTGACACAGGTAGTTTTTTGAAATATTTTGTTTGTTGAACAGATTTGCTTAGGTGGCACCTAAATATTCCCTACATTCAAATATTCTTGGGGGAAAAAGTGCATTATATAAGAAAAAGGTTCAGGCTGTTCTTAGTGAGATCAATACAGCTCATCTGTTTATATGATTCTAAGGAGGATATGTTGGGTAAAATGCTCTGGGGAAAAGTTCTCTCAGTGAATATCAAATGATAGAAGTTCTATCTCATAATTAGTCATATTTAATTGCTATGAGACCTACATTTAAGCTTACTTTAAGAATCTGTTTTTCTATGGATTACTAAAGAAAGACCAAAGATATTTAACACACATGACTTGATGAAAAAGGTTTTTCCAGGACACAGAAAAGGTGATGCAAAATAAAATGTCATTTTTGTCTTTCTTGACAGTTCTTACGGTTTTTTATTTGATACCTTCTATTTTTTGTCATTTTTCTCATGTTTCTAAATTAGTTGTAACTTTCAACAATTTGTTGTCCATCAAAATCAGAAAATAAGGAAATCTTACCAAGTGAAAACTTTTGTTTTTCAGGGCTGTCTGTTCTGTCATTCTTAGTTCAGCCTCAAATTTAGGATCTCTCAGTGGGAGAAGATGGATCTTTGGTGAAGACTGACTTTATCACAGCTTGACAGCACTTTATTATCTGCCTTAGTTTTAGTGGCTTTCATGTTTTGTGTTTATTTAGCTGAAAATTGAAAATGAGTTGAAAATACAAAGCAAGTTGCAATCAGATCTGTAGAACAGCTTTGTTGTAGAGTGCTGCACATGTTAAACCCTTTTTGCTACATGAATTTCTTTTTTTAAAAAAAACCAAACCAGCTAAACTTTCAACATTTGACCTCACTGCTAATGATAATGATGGACTTGGGGCTCTAAGTGCTTTACTGAGAACCCTGGATAATGCACAAGGACAGCCAAATTGAAGGGGAAATTAGCTCTGGAGTCAGTCTGTCTATGGGATTCCAAAGCTGCTGGGAATCAGCTGTGTAGGCACAAAGGTTTTCCATACTCATAGAACCATGGAATAATTTGGGATAGAAGGGACCTTAGGGATTGTTCTGTTCCAACCCATGGGCAGGGACACCTTCCTCTATCCTAGGGTGCTCCAAGCCCTGTCCAGCCTGGCCTTGGACACCTGCAGGGATCCAGGGGCAGCCACAGCTCCTCTGGGCACCCTGTGCCAGGGGTTCACCTGTAAATAATCAAGGCTCACTTTGTAAATAATCAAGTCTCCCTAAAAACCTGCTAAGTTGAGAAACAGAGTTAATAGCAAAAGATTATTTGGAGGGATGATTTGTAATTAAAAAGGCTTTGGTGGTGGTTTATTTCCTGGGCTCAGGAAAGCTCCCCTGCACAGGTGTGAGAGGTCCTGCTATGTCTTTGGGTGATGCTGATACATACATGGGCTCTGCCTTTTAGGAAAGCTGTTCATTCAACCTCAGCCTAGAGGGCTCCCAAAACTTAGGTTAAACTGCATTTCAGGCCACTATAGCCAGTGTCTGTCGGGTTGTTTGAATGGAAATGAGCATCAGTCCCTTGCTGAGGGTGAAACAATCCAACCGAGAAACATTCAAGAAGAGAAACAGACATGTAGAACTCTGAAATCATATAAAAGTATTCTTTTTAAAAAGTAATCTTAAAAATTATTCTTTCTTCTGTTACATAATAACAAGATTAGATAATAACAAGAACTTGCTCTTGTTTTGATCTGTGCTATCTCAGTTTTAAAAGAAAGGTCTAACCATTTTCTCCCCTTTTCTCTTACCTATTGCACAACCTAAGCTGTCCAGGCTGTTCACGGTCGAGTGTGCTCTCACACCTTCAGCATGTTTCTGTTACAGTGCTGTGATGTAGGATTGTGTTTAGCTGACAGTCTTGGACAACTCAATTTGTTGTTTGGTGTTTTACAGAGATATAGAATGGGACAATGACATGGCAGGTACATGGCAGGTGTGTTCTGAAGATTGGTCGCTAATTATCTGCGGGAAACCATGGGAAGGAAAATCATAAGAAGTTTATGTTTAACTTTTAATGCGCTGCAGATTGTTGAAGGAAATAAAGGGGACCAGACAGAAGGGCAAGGAGGTGGGAATTTCTGTAAAGGGCACTGCTGCTTTCAGTTTTCTCTGCCTGCTTTGTGTCTTGCCTAATTAGTTTGTATTTAATCTCCTGGAGGAAAGAGTTCCCAACTCCATGTTTGTCCATGACAATCACAGTGAGATCCTGCTAGAGGACTGTTCCAGCAGTGATAACTGTTTGCAGTGTCACATGTCCTTTTCTTTTTTTTCCTAGTGAAAATGAGCAAATTAAAGACCGTAGCTGGGATGTTTACAGCAGCAACATGGTGAACAAACAGATAAGGTAATTTTACCCCTTCTGTTAGTTACCAAAGCAACACTATAAAGATCCTTTTAATTTAGTTTAGTGCTGTGAAGATTAAAGCTTAATTAAAATGGTGATATTAAAAAAAATTAAAACCTGAAGCAGCATAGGAAAAATAGAAAGATGTAATTATGGTCCAGTGAATGCTTATCACTTGTTATGAACTTTTAGAGAAGAGGCATTTTTTTCTGTCTATTGAGAGTAATTTTATTTTGATCATAAATTTGAATGACCAGAACAACCTAGGATCATAGCTGTTTATAAATTAATAAGGACAGTTGGAAGGAATGTGTTATTCTTCTCATAAAACAGGGGGTAGTTAGTTTTCCTGTACTGGCCCATTTCCTAAAAAAAAAAACATGAGGGATAAAGACTCTACAAAGACAAAAAAAAAATTCCTGTACTCCAGTATTTCACATGGCTTGCATAGAAATTCAGCTATTTAGTATTAAAAGATCTCTTACTTTCAAATTGTTTAATAGACATACCCTATTGTGAATTTGAGAGGTTAGATTTTCAAGTGGTTCTAACTGGCACCATTTCCTTTTATCAACAGAGCTGCACTAATTTGTACTGGGTGAAAAGATATGTGGAGGACTTGATGTGATATAATTATTAGAAATTCCTCCAGGAATATGACTTTTGTTGGCTAGTTAAACATCTGTTGCTTTGCCAGATTCCTCCTAATGAGTTTAAAATCATTGTGGGGAAGCCATATGTTTGCCCAGTAGAAAGCAAACCAGGACACGACACAATATTCTTTCCCTGCAAAATTCCAAGTAGGAATCTCTGCCCATGACAAAGCAGGAGCACTGAGAAGGAGCAGTTCCAGCTTGCCAGTTTTGTTGAGAGGTATCTTTCCAAATTATTCCAGAAGTGAGCTGGGGAGATGCCATGGTACCCTGGAGAAGCAGCTCCAAATACCACAGGACTCAAAATGCCCTTTTATTAACTCCCTCTGTTAATCTTGCTCAAGCATTTTAAAACTATCTTTAACCACATATCACACATTACTGCTGGGCACAGAATCATTAGCAAAATTAGACATTTAGCCTTGCATCAAAGCAGCATTATATTTATAAAATACAGTGATGTCTGCTTTTGGTAAAACTCAGCCTGGTAGCTTAAATCTGACTTTTTGCCCCAGGATGCTGTGTAAAGCAAAAGGTCACTGGACTTCAAGGACAAACTCATGGAAAATGAATCCACTGAGATTGCTGAAACTGTGTCTGGCCCTGGATGTCTGTGAACTGCAAAGGCCTGGAGGAAGGGGAGCACACAGGTGATGTATTTCATCAGTCTGCCCTGTTCTTGGAGTCTTTCCTGATTGCATGCTGGAGGAAAGATATTACATTGTCTGTAGTTTTTGCCCAGGTCCTGTACAACAGTATTGCTACCAAACAATTCTGGCAAACAATTTTAGTTTTAAAAATATTGCCTTTCTTTTCCTAAACAAGGTATAAACGAATTTCCTGGCTTCCAGGTTGGCATGTAGATATTTTTATATATATATATATATATATATATATATATGAGTTCTCCACAGGTCTGCAGCTCAATTAGTTATTCCAGGATACATTTTTGATTTTGCTGGCAAATATAAATCTCTCTGATGGTGTGATACAAATCTCTCTGGTGGTGTTCCTGAAAAACTTAAAACCCTTCTAACCAGGTAGCACTCCAGGAAACTCTCCCACACCCACTAGCTTGGATCACTGTCTTTGAGGAACCATAGATAATGGGCACATGAAGGGCCATAGAATTTAGTATCATCCTGGAGCAGGTACAGTTAAGAATTATAATCAAATATAATTGCAGTCCTAAGAAAAGTGAAGTATTTTTTCTTTACAAAGAATTATTAGTCTCTAATATATGCTTTCAGAAACAACAACAAAAAAAAGCCATATAAATTTATTCTAGAATGCCATTGTACAATTTACCCTGCCAGGGGCTCAGGCTATTTATGTTTTTGACTGCACTGTCTTCACTAAACTTTAAAAAAAAAAAAATTACCATGGTAACCACTGCATCACACAACAAAGACTTGTATACACCACTTAGATCTTTAAAGAGACAGCGTCTGGAATGAAATTATGGTCTGCATTTTTTAACAATAATATTTTTCTTAGTAAATGCCTCTTTTGTTGTTTTATCAAATAACTTTGCATTTAAAAGCAGCAGATAAAATAGAGCATCTAAAATAATTCTGTTTTAAGAATGTTAACTTTATGAGAGCTGTTCATGCAGCTGAGATCACTGAGCTGTAAGGGATGAGAGAGTATAGGTGTGAGATGCTGATATTCTTTAATGCTGTCTTTCTAATAATTTTCCTACACATTACTTTTCCATGTCACCATTTTTATTGCAGTACAGTGTGGATGTCACAGGAAGGTCACACTAGTGACATATATATTGATATATACTTGCCATACATATATACATATACATATATATATATACATATATATACATATATATTCACACATATAAATATACATATATATATATATGAGACATTTTCTAACTGATTTTTAGAGTTAAAAAAAAAAAAAGTGAGGAAAATAAAACTGGAGGCCATTCCATCTGTCTCCAACTTTCTAACAATGCTTGATACTTTCATATGAGAGCCCTTTGCTATCGCTGCTCATTCCTCACCTCTCAGTTCATATGGAACACCCCATCTCAGAGATCTCTGAGTGGAGGTAGGAACTGTCACAGGGAGCTGACACAGGAAAGCTTGGAGTCCTGTTGGTTTTCCTGGCTGCTGCCTTGGGTTCTGCCAGGGCTGTTAAAGAGCATCAAAATTCCAGAGCATAATCTTCCTGCTTGCCCACATGGTAGCATCAAACAACTGGGGGGGTCTATTTCAGGTAGCAACAGTGAGATATACTCAAAATAATACCACAAATTGTTTTTGTGCTTCAGAACAGATGTAAGGCAGAGAGTAAGGATCCTGTCTGACATCTGGGGAGAAGTCTGAAATTATGAATTAGTCCCATGGATTCCACTGAAGTGCCTTGTGCTTGTAGCTTTAGAGTGTGGTCACAGCCTTGTGCCATATTATACAGTTTCTGGCAAAAGTTCCATGTTAGTAGAGCCCTGCTTATGCTGGAATCGCTTTCTCACTGAAATAAGCAGAATCTGAGACTCCCTCTCTCTCCCTGCACTCTGGAAATTCTTCGTTTTTTTGGGCAGCAGAGATGCTTGCTAATATTTGGCTCTCAGCAATTTTTTTAACGACTGAATTATAAACCCAGAAAATATAAGTTTATAACGAAAATGACAGCAGCACATTAAAAATGGCAGGAGCGGTGGGCACTGTAACATTGTCCTTGTTTGGTTTCAATCCCTTTCCCAAACCAGCCCTGCTCCCTGCAGCACTGGAGGTGAAGACTCTGAGCACTTGGTGCTCTGACCATGCCAGGGTGGGTGTGTGCCTGTCCCTGATGTGCTGTCTCAGCACACTGCTGAATTTTGAGCTATGCTGCACCACTCCAAGTGGGTGGGCAGAGGCGAGAAACAAAGGGATGGGATGCAGTTATCATGGGATTAAATGCTTCCTTTTTAAAATTAGTTATATAACTAGGAAATTCCGATAATTTGACTTCTCATTTGCACATATATAACCAACTGAGTAAGGAAAGACCAGACTCCTGGTTTTTTGGGAAAAGGAAGGATCTTTCCCTTTGCTTCTGGTGCCTGCAGCCTTTGGATTATTCCACATTTTTCTGCAGTGCTATTTGGCTTTTTTGGTAATCTAAGTATTTTTCAGCTTTCATCTATTGAATAATCATCTCAGACCTAATGGACATAGGATAATCTCCCACAATCTGAAATAGTTCTGGCCAACTAAAAATTGTGGGGCTGCAATAGTGATGTCTGGAAGTTGAACTGCCTGGGACAGTGTGGAGGGCAGAGCAGCCAGCAGCAATTTGCCTTTGAGGGAGGGCACTTTGGAAGTTATGAAAGGTTTACTTTACATTTCATTCTGCCTTTACCATCCCCATTTCCCTCATCCTTTCATCTGCATGTGCGTACCTTCTGTCAGAGCCTTGTCTGACTGAATGCTGGAGTGGAAGATTAGGAAATTAGTAAATTAATGTTATTTAAATGTCTGTTAGAGTGTCACATATCTAAACACAGGGTTGGGATTTCATTGCACCAGCCACTGATTCTGGTTGTGGAGGGGGTTGCTGTGTCCATCAAGGCAGTCCTTTACAATTAGTCATTCTTGACTGAGAGTTATTATTATGAGATCTGCTAATGAATTGCTTTTTGAAAGTCATTCTGATGTCAGGGTGCAGGGGGCTGTGAAAGTAAAGGCAAAGTTTACTTCATGAATCTGAAAGAGAATAGTGGGGCCAAGGGAGTAAAATATCCATGGATTAAGCTGGAGAACAAGAGGTAGTAAAAGTAAAATGGAGGAAGACTAAAAAGTGAAAGGAGTGCAGAAAAGTTGAGACATAAACAGAGACAAGCTGTGGGCTAAAGAAAAAGAGGTGGTTACATTTCTTCAGCAAACTTCCTAAAAATTTCAAAGGGCAATGAGCAAGGAAGGACCTCTTGGAACAATACACTGCTGCTTAGAGCCCTGGCTATGCAATTTATCCCAGCATTAGAAATACTTTGAGTATATTTAAGTATTTAAAATAACAGTTTACATTACTATGGCAACCATATAAACTGGCCACTTTCTTTTCTCTGTTCCAAAACAAAAGGATATAAATTCCCCAAACATTTTTCTGCATCTCTCACAGTCCTATAACCCCCTGTCAGTTAGTTCATGGTGGTTACAATTAAGAGTTTGTCTCATTGGCCCTTGCCACTTGTCTGTTCTACTTTTGTTTCTTTTCACCTGCAATATCTCCCTCAGAGGCAGGATCTCATTAATCACTGTCATTCTCGACTGATTTTCAGAGATGACCTGTAACATGTAAGCAACACATTGACAAATAAGCCCTTGAAATCCCATGCTTAATCACTGCAGTAAAATACCATTTCTGTTAATATTGCAGTTTCCTTACTTTAGATAATTGCACCTTTCTTGATTGTCAGATATTCAGTGAAATAAGTGGGGAGAGAAGAATGACTGTAACTGAACCATTTGTGAAATGACATCCCCCTTCTTTTTCTCCTCCCCAATTACACCATCTTTATGACACAACATGGAGAAAAGGATGCTTTCCTCTCCAAGAGAAAGGAACAAGTTGGTTGACATAAGGTTGACATTCACAGCCCTGGTATCTGAATGCTGACCACACCAGCCAGAACAAGTCTTAGTCCCTACACAGGATGCTTTTTCAACAAATACCATAACAAAATATGTATATAATAAATAACAAAATATTGGATGAATCCCTCAAATGCCACTGATTGTATTAAAAAGCAGTAGTTTTGGATCCAGTCTGTTTTCCTTTGCTCAGGACAATGTTTCTTCTGGCCAGCCCATGCCCACAGCAGTGACTGGTGAAGCTGAAACAGTGTTTTTGCAGATATTGTAATTTCAGAACAGTGTTACATCTCCATACTTCTAAAGGAAGGTCCACTTCCTAAAAATGATGTATTTACACAGCTGCTGAATCTTTTATATGCAATTTCTGTGGAAACAATGTCTCTCTGACTGCTTGCCTGTCAGCTCCTATTGTGAGCAATTAGAAAAGGGCAGTGCAAGCAAGTAAAAGCGCTCTGGGTTCTTGAGATGTAATCTTTGTGAGAAAAGGGCTTTGAGCTGGGAGCAGTAATGCATTGTGGTACAGCAGTGCACAAGCAGTACTTTTTTTTCCCTTGTCCTGATTAATTGGTTCAGTGTTAAGTGAGGTAACAGTTTAAAGAACTAGCTCATTATGTGAAATTACTCTGTCTGCTGTGATACTTAAAGTCATCTTGCAACACTCTGGAGCTCAATGCATAAAATATTACATTGGTAAGTAACTCTCCCACTGGATAGAGCGTTTTCTTTCAGAAGTTAACTTAGGGATATGAGAAATCCATCCTTGCCCAGAGTGTCTGATCCAATGCCAGTGCCTAAGGATGTTCTTGGAAGGATTCCCATCTTTAAACACTGGATTGGGGCCTTTGGTGCAGGAGCTAAAGTGCTTAGGGTTATACTTGCAGCAATAAAATATGGCATTACTGTTAATGTAGGAAAAAGGCTACAAGAACATAGGTTGTCAGTGAAATACTGACAAGAGAAAGCAGGAGCTGTGTGAAGGCAGAAAAGGGGACTTTCTGGAGGAAAAACTGGGAAATCATGAAGATTAAAACAACAGGTGTTTTTCCCAGCTTGTTCTCATCTGTTGCAACCTTCATGCAAGGGAAGAACAAAGTGGTTTTTCTCCACTCAGACAGGCAAATAGGATACCAGTTTCAGAGGTGTGAAGGATAGGACACAGACATCACACAGTGAAGCTGAGGGTTGTTATTATGGAATAGCCAAGGTACCAATGTTGAGATGCTGTGCACTTGCTCCCCAGGCTGGCATAATTAGATAGCTGCAAGATAAGATATTTTTGCCCAGAATAACAGAATATGGTGGGAGCTGGCAAAACAGCACACAATCTTGAAGGCACACTCAGCAGGGAAGGAGAAAATTCCTGCAGGGAGTTGTAGTAGGTTTTCTAAGGTTTTTGTCCTCATCTTTACCAGCCTGAAGACAACAGACTCATCTCTAGCTTACACCAGGGGTGCAGTAATCAAAGCATGGTGCAGAAGCTTAAGTGATATGCTCAAGATCATGTATATTATTTTGGTATTCCATTAGGTAAAAAGGCTTTTTGCTCATGTATTTGCACATTTTGTGCCATGAGTTTTGATCCACGTATCCTTGTCTATCTGTAATTGTGACTGTTATTCAAACTGACGTCAGAATTTATGAGTTCTTGGTGCCCAGTCATGTGCTTTGAAGAATAAAGCATGCATAAGCAAATTAACAAAACCAGTAACCTCTCTGGACATTGTGCAAGAATTGTGGTGTTTTGAATTGGAGCAAAGCTAGAAGCCAACAAAGTGACTGGTTTCTCTCCCAAAGCTACAGTGAATTTGATGGCATTGCACAGACTTGGACATATATTAAACAGAGCCATGTTTACTTGTGCTGCATAAGAATCACAGGGGGAAGGAAAATCAATGTTTTCCAAATGGAATAGAAAGGAGCTGTGAGGAAAAGAAATGGTATTTTCAAGCTTCTTTGAAAGGTAACACAAACAATGCACAGAGTAAAAAAAATCTCTGAAGAAAAAGCACTTGCCAATGTCTTCTTTATTCTGTGTTTAACTTGTTTTGGAGGATTAAGGGATGGTAGGTCCTTAGTATTATTTTAAAAGGTGAGGAGTGCCTGTATGAGAATAAGACTTTGAAACTAAAATTTTGAATTGGAAGCTGCACAATGCATCTGTACGTCTTGACAGCAGCAGAAGACAGTCAGATTTTAGAGGAGCACTGAGATGACACTGAGAGTGCATGATGCAGTGGTGTAATGAAAGAGAGATCAATGCTAAAATGAATGTAACACCACTGAGGAGTACACACAGATCAATACTCTTGTAAGCCATGGAGTATAATCCTGCTATATAGGTCCTGTTAGATAGTATACTCAGTTCTAGGAAGACAAATTTTTCTGCATTTCTTGAATGTACCTCTGACTCATCTATCCTAAAAATAGTTCTTCTTTTGGAATGTATAAGCTTGACTCTTTGTCTTCTCACCCATGCGTGCTAAGGAAAAGATGCAGTGCTATTTGTAAACTCCCAATCCTCAAAAATGTGGCACAGGAGGATAAGATGGACAGTCAGCAATGAGCTGTGTTTCATCAAATCTTTGACATATTGCTTTGTTCCTGTCCCCTCTTGCTGCCCCCTCTTTTTCATGAAGGAAAATATTTTAAGCACATTTATTGAAAATGCACTCTCAAGAGAAAGGGGGAGTTCAGTCTTGCAACCTTCACTTTTTATGCAAAAAACTTGCATAAAATTTTTTTCTATCTCTGGATATTGAGAGCTTAAAACCATTAAAAAAAGATCATAGAGTTTCTCTCATTTCTTGATGCCTGGATAGCCTTAGAGTCACTAAACCTTCATGGTTTTTTTTTAAAGTTTGCCAACTCATGCTATCCCTGCCTGGGATGTTTGTTAGTGTCTGATGAATATTGTAAAACAATTTTTCTTAGGAAGGAGTAGATTGAGGAATGAATGCGAAGATCCTGCACTCTGACTTTCACCTCTGGATCCTGCAGGGCATGGGAGGCATCAGAAGCACAATCTGCCATGTTCTTATGGAAACCTGGTACCTGGTATGGAGAGAGCAATGGGAATGGCATTGCTGTCTCATTTTTGTTCTGTCTTGTTTGAAAGCCAGATTTCCTTGAATAGACAGAGGCTCTTAGAATGAACAGCTCCTTGATTTAATTTCTGCTGCAGGTCTGACTGGCACTCTCTGTAGAAAGGGAAATGTATCTCAGCTTCTAATTTTCATCTGCCTTCTACTTTTCCCTAATGCAGGTGGGTTTTTTTTTCCCTTGTAAATTCCAAGGAAAGCCATGAATTCTTGAGTTCTACTCTGTTTTAGAGTTCAGTTGTTTTTACCCATTTCCTCAATGAAATTACTTTGTTTTGAATTTCTTTGCAGTGGAAAGCATGCATTTTTCTAATGACTGGAGAAGCTAAAGCAAATAAAGATAAATTAATAAATACATAATTACAGTGTTGCTTCAGGGAAAATTTTCTAGGCATAATCTAATAACAATGACTGGAGATACTATTAGTATTGTGTGTTGATTCTGGATCCCTTGGGATAGTCAAATAATTAAGCTTGTGTTTTCCAGTCCCTTTTGGCTTTAATAGCTATTATGATCATTAAGTGTAACCTGCCATAGACTCTGGTTTCTAAATGCCTTTGTGAGTCCAAGACCAGCTCTGTGTCCCCTCATGAGGGAAATGGTTTGATGAGAAATAGAAGTCCCTCAAGACACTGTTCTCACTTTTGTTCCAAAGCTCTTTTCCTTCCAAATAGCCACAGCCAGCAACTTTCCACAGCTCTTGCTGAGCTGCAGTTAATCTCTACTCCTTCTGACACTATGGCAGCTCTAAAATGCCATTGCACTTGCCTGCATTTGTCCTCCTTTTCCCCCAGTGTTTGTGACTGACCCCATCACCACAGTCCTGGCTGTGTGGGTGCTGAGCTGGAAGATTCAAACTGAATTGTCACCACTGCAAAGGCTGCTCTTAAGTAGATGCTTTTCATGATGCAGCTCTGGATTCAGAAGGTGTAGTCAGAAAGCCTTCAGCCCTAGTTTCTTCCAGAATACTGCAAACATTTCTTTTGCTTGCATGGCAAAAAGCAGACACTTGTTGCAGGGGTTGTTCCCTGTCACATTAATTGGCAATGCTGGCAGCCAACGCAGCTCCAAGGGAGGGAATTCACTTTCCCTGATGCAGAAAGAAGCAATGCAAAAGCAATACACAAACAGAGCCAGGCACAGCCTTTTGACTGATCTGTCACTCCTTGCTGAACTTGCCTGAAATTTATTGCCAGTTAGACAGCATTTCCCTCTGTTTACTGATTTGATTGAAAGGATGATTTATCAAGGCTCAGCATCACATCGAGCGCTGCTCTCTGCTCCGAAGGGTAATGAGTTGTACACACATCTCATTCTCCTTCCCCACGTGATGGAGAAGGTGAGAATCTGCTGGCTCTGGTGTGACACAGAGCTCTGCTGGCAGGGGCTGCTCCTGCTGCTCCCCTTTCTGCAGGACAGGATGTGCTGTGTCAGGACAAACACAGGGACCTGCACACAGACATGCAACCAGCAGCTGTGGCAGACAGGGAGTGCAATGGTGTTGTATTTTCAGGGTACCCTGTGCAGGAAGGAAATGATGAATCTGACTTCACGTTCTTAGAAGGCTAATTTATTATTTTATGATATTATATTACATTAAAGAATTATATACTAGAACTGTACTAAACAATAGAGTAAGGATACTTACAGAAGGCTTAACAAGATACTAATGAAAAACCTGTGACTCTCTCCAGAGTCCTGACACAGCTGGCAGTGATTGGTTATTACGTAAAAGCAATTCACATGAAACCAATTAAAGAACCACCTGTTGGATAAACAATCTCCAATCCACATTCCAAAGCAGCAAAACACAGGAGAAGTGAATCAGATAATTATTGTTTTCATTTTTCTCTGAGGCTTCTCAGGAGAAGAAATCCTGGTGAAGGGATTTTTCAGAAAATATGACAGTGACACAATGGGAAAGGACAGCAGGAAGGATGATGACAGAGGTAAGAAAATAAAAAGATTATAAATACCAGAAAGTGAAATGACAGCTTGCTGTTGTCTCTGCTGTTGTCCCTATGGTCTCTGGGTGCCATGGCTTGGTGCTGGTGAACATTTTTTTTTGTTAGCTGCTGTGTCACAGTTCTATCACAGCACACTGGGGACTAACACCTTCTCTCTGAGTGGATATTTGTTTTGGTTGTGGGGAGTTTTCCTTAAGCAGCTCTGCTATTTGTTTCAATCACAACAAAACCCATTGTCTCACCTTAATTTACAGAGTCATAACTAGCAGTATTTCTTTTCAGCATAAAGAGTGCATTGGAACAACTACCAGCATTTATCAACTGTAATGCAGTTCTTTATAAAGGTCTTACGTGAGCAAAGAATAAAAATGCAATGATAGTCTCACAATAAATACCCTAAATCCTTTATTGCCTATTTATGGTGTAATCTCTCAACAGTTGTACAATATATGACTGTTTAGAAAAATATCTAGAATACAGTTATATGGTTTATTTACCAGGAGATGGCAATGGCGATCTACTGCAGTATTAACTTGTATACAAGTCTCTCATAAGTCTTCCACAACATTACAAACTTCAGTAGGAATGAAACCAAAGTATTCCAATACTGCTTTTTCCTTCCTTGTTTCTAACTTATTTCAGTTGCTGTTATTCATTGTATTTTTTCTCTCATTTTTTGATTGAAATTGCTGTCACTACATTTTTTAAAGATGTCTAAATACAATCCTCCTGGTATTCTAGAAAACAGAATATTATTTAAAAACAGAGCAGCCAATACCATTGAATAAGATATGCCACGTGTCAGAAAAAAAAATCAAATGATTGATGAAAGTAAAAGCTTAAAAATGCATTTAGCTTTACAGTATCAAAATTGAACTTGAGCAGTTAATGAAAAATAAATTATAGGTTATGCTTCTAAAAAGCAGGCTATAATTTTCTATTAAGCTTCTTGAAGTATGATTTTAAAGCATGCAGATGACAAAATTTTTATATAATTTGAAATTAGCTGAGGTCTGCAATGTTGTCTGTGTTGTTACATTACCTTAGCCTGTAGTAAGGTGCTCATCATTCTTTATGAATGATGAATTAGTGAATTAGTTCAGCACGGATCTTCACATGAAGATCACTGCCACAAACACTGAAAGTAAAATTTGGCTTCTTATGGGATTGTTTGATGTTCCTTTATGTCCTTCTCCACATGATTTCTGCTCTTCTCCCCAGAGCTTGCACAAGCTGCACAGTAGGTTTGTGCATGTTTATTAGGTATTTGGCAGATTTCAACCTGAAGCTACAGCAGGTGAGTCTCACTGTGCTCCTCTCCTCAGCTGCATCCCTGTCTGTTTGGAGTGATCAGGGGCACTGCTGGATATCTAAACCTGCTCTGAAGCAGATCTGGACCAATTATAGCAGTGACCATCTTTCATCTGGGAACTACTCCCATGGCTGGCTTTTCCTCTGGTATTCTGAAATACACACTGTTTGACATGTCTCAAACAATCACTGTGGGGCTCTCAGTTGGGAGGGTTATCCACTCTCAAGTTAAATAAATGCTTTAACTGAATTTGCTGTTTGCAACATCAAATACCAGCATTATTGCCTTTCCATTGCTCCTGTTGTAGTGTTACTAAAAAGCCAGCCAGGACCTTAGATGTGTGAGGCTGTGAGAGGAGCATGGAGTAGGTAAGGAGTACTTATCTGAAGCAACAGATGATAAGAGAGACAGCCCCCATTGTTTAACTCATGTGAAAGTCTTGATTTTCTACTGTTCTTACTGTTTCAATTGCACTTAATTTTCTAGAGTTCTTCTTCACCACAATGTCTACCTTTCTACAATATCTTTCCTTCTTCTGCTCTGCATTAAGTGGTGCTCAATCAAACCTTATCTCTACAAGGGAGAAAAAGCAAATTTAGAGCATACAGAAAATATTTCTCTTAAGTCTGCCCTCTCCACAGCTTCATATCAGGCAACTTTTGTGTTGGGATCTGCCTGCTCAGCATTCATGATGTAGGGGAAGACTGGCTCCACCTAATCAGTAACAGGAGACCCCTGCGTCCACAAAAGCAACCACACATTTCACATCCACAATATCTTTCCCTCCACAGACACTACAGGGTACAACAGGAAGAAGGAAGAGGTAAGAAAGACCTTTTTTCAGTCTTTTTGCCAATAAGGAAATCAATCCCTGGAGCAAAATGAACTGACTGAGTGAAAGCAGCAGAAGAAATAGGGAGTAGGGTTTAGAGTCTGTTGGCTGCTGGTGCCTGGCTGTATCAACCAACCAAACTGTTTCCCTCTCACATTTCTGTATGTCTTTAGATTCCTCTACACAACAGCACAAAGCCAACCAATACATGCTGGACCCCTCCCTGTGCACCAGGGCAGCCACAGGATTCACCTTATGGAGAGGTTCCCCAGCAGCTCTGGTCTAACAGGGCTGGGAATCACCCCGGTGGTGTTCATGTCTGTTCAAAGGACAAATTTTGAGAAAGGGTAAAATGATGTTCAAACTGACAGCTGCTCACACAAGATCCCTTTTCTCCTCTGCTGGGTCTCTTGCTGTGAATACCCATGCTCATGTCAGCTGTGTGCAGGGAGGAATTATGAGTTTCCCTTTTCCTATCACTTACTCAGCTCCTTTGTTTTACCAACATAGATTGTGCTTACATTCTAGTACAGACTAGAGATACCAATGTTAGCTTAAAAGGAATTAGCTCAGCCATTTCTTTACTTTGTTAAAATCTGTCCTGTAAACATGCCAGGCTGCAGGCTCTTGAGAGTGGGACTGTTTACAGCCTTGTTTTTACATTGTTTAGTACAACAGGGCCAAAGAATAGATGCTTTGGGTGCCCCTGGAGTTCCAATAATTTTCACAGTGACCCAGAGGGAGAAGAAAGGTCAGACTGAGGGGTGAGTGGTTCATAATGGGTCAAGAGAAGTTTAAATTTCTGAATTATAAAGTTGTAAAAAAGATTCAGAGGGAAGTAAGGGCATACTCAGCCCACTCTTTGATAGTACAATACATAAAAACCGGATTTTGTAGGAGTATAATAAAAGATTGTATAGGAGTATAATAAAACCCAGACACAAGTCTGAAAAATTCATTAGTTTCTGCCATGACTAAAATAAGCACTGTCTAGGAAAACTACTTTGCAATGGTAATGAAAAGCAAGTGGAAAAGCAAGTGTTAGCACCAGTGCTGCAATGTGAAATAATTTCTGTATACTCAGATCTGTCATTGTGAACAATGTTGTTGATTATAAACCACATCAAATTCCCAGTCCCCCTAGACATGTGTTTTATTTTGCAGTTTTTCTAGTAATTATGAAATCAACAGAATACTATCAAGTTTTACCACAATTAAGCTAAATATATACTTAAATGATATAACATAGTTGGTAATTGCAATATCTCTCTGACTTCCTTCCAAGGAACACTCGGCATCGTTTCTGGAGCATTTTCAGGGGTGGCTGCTAATGGTAATGACGATGCTGAGTTCTCTCATAATTTTATACTTTCAAAGGTACTTCAAGCCAATTTAGAATCAAGATTTGACCTGCAGAGCTTCAATTCTTGTGAGCTGATAAGACAAACCTCCTAGGCTGAGTGGATTTTATGGCCTCCTCAGTGTGTGGGTTTGATGGAGAGAGGGTGATGCAGACTCACAGCCCTGTGAGCAGCTCACTGAGAGCAGGTCTGGATGCAGTCACTTGTGAGATAGTGTAAAGCCATCTCCATGCCATGGTGCTGAACACCTTTGGGCTCCAGGAGATAAAAATGCTTGTCTTGGGTCCTCAGTGAGGGGCAGCTGTGTGCTATAGCCCTTCAAACAATTGCTGCTTGCTCAGGGTCTGGCCAGGCTGTGGTGTTGGTGGTGGGCCTGGGAGGCAGGAGGTTTGTTCCAGTACTTTCCTCAAAGTTTGCCAGATATATAAATAGCTCAAGAGACTGCTCAATATTCCCCACCAAAGTGGGACTCTGCCTACGTTGGCAGCTTTGTCTTCCTGTAGCTCATCATTGTTGCCATTCTGGCCATCGGAATTGAGCGTGTGCTCCAAATTTATATTTACAGGCACTGGAATCCACTTTGTAAGAAAAGACAAGGCAAGTTTGTTTGTACTTCTACCATCAACTTAACATTTATATATTTCTTCAAAAAGATAAGAACTCAATGAACTTGATGATCTAGGAGGTCTTTCTTGACCTTATTGATTCTAAAATGATTCTTATTACCTCGTTTTAAATATCCTGTCTCCATCTAACCTTGCTTACTCTATATGATACCATTTGTCTGAGAGGTAGTTTTCTGTCTAAGTGAATACTACCTTTTAAATAATTTGGTTTAATAATTGACATTTTTTTCAGGTCACTGAAAGGCAAAGGTCAGACAAAGCAAAGACAGATTGCATGTACTTCAAATGCTGTTTGCCCAACTTTAATTAGAAATTGTGATTGGTATGGCATGAAGAAACTATTATGACCATATATTAAACATTGTTTCTTTACTGATTTAGATAGATTAGACAAGTAAATGAATTTATATAAAATAATGCAGAGTTTTTAAAGTTTCTTGGTTTAAAAGTGTAATGAGCCTGGTTTTATTTAATGTAAAGTAGTATGCAAGTTGATATATTCTGGAACACAGGACAACATGTTCAGATTCCTTCTAGAATATGAAATTGCCACCAAGATTTCAAAAGCAGCTCTCATGGGTCCCTAACCATTGGAAGAAAAACCCCTTGGTAAAAGTGCACTAAAAGAAAAAGAAGTGTTTCCTCTATATTTTTTAAATATCAGAAAAGAAAAGAAAAAGCATTTAATCTTTTCTCCTTTTATAATGCTTTCTGGAAGCACAGCATCCTCCTATCTATTTCCCGGTTTGTGGATATAGAGAATATCTTTGCCTTTTGCTTTTGCCTGCTAAAATCAGCCAGTGCAATTAGGTTGTGGATGTAACCACCTGGGGATTTAGTATGGTAAATATAGCACTTAAAAACCTTTTGTTTTCTCTTTAGAAAACAGTGAGATCTCTGTTCTTAAGGTCATCTTCATGAAAATGTCCACTGGATGACTACGTTAAAGAAATGAAGAATGAACAGACAGAAAAGGTAATTATAAGAAAAAGTGAATTTCTAACTATATGCAGAACTACATCTATCACAGTGGAGGATGTGTATTTTTCATTAGCTACATGAGATAAAGATTTCTCAGCTCAGCTGCATGAAAGGGATTGTTTTATGTCCATTGAAAGATGTCTGTTTCTATTGGACTTTCTGATTAGCCTGTTATGTTCCCTGGGTGATTAGTTCCCAACACTTCCATATTGAGAGCTCATCATTCATACCCTGTGCATGTCTCAGAACCTCTCCCTTGACCAGGGCTAGACAGCTCATTTTTTGCCAATTATTGGCATGCACAGTCCAAGCTGAAGCTCAGAGTTTTTGTCTCTCAACCACTACAAAACTTCTGGGCAAACAGAGCCTTGTTTTTAAACCATTTCAAGCAGCACTGAGTTCAGCAGAGGTTAACCTCCTTGGTTTTTTCCAGTTTTCTGAATGAATTTTACAGCTTGAACTGTGTGCTCTGTGCTTCTGAAGGCAGACTGCTGCCATTGGAAGTGTGACTGCTTTACATAAAGTTTGGCTACACTCCTGTTGCACTGCAGGGACACTGCTGTCCAGGGATAACCCAGAGATTGCACACTGGGACTACAAATACCCATCACTATGATTATGAAGACTTAATCATCAACTTTGGTGTCTACCTTACATGGACCTATCTAGAACCATTTTTGTGCTATGCTTCCAAAAACCCTCCACCCAGGTCCAGTTCTTTTTTCTCTCTGCTTATCTCACTTTCCATTGTTATGAAATGAGAGCAGAAGCCCAGGCACTATTTCACACAGCTTAATAGTTTTGACAGACAATATTATCCAAGAAAAATCTTGACATGTTGCATTTGTAGGAGAAAAGATTCAGGTAGTCAGAGACTAGGACTTTGAAATCTTTTTCTGCTGAACATAATTATATATTAACTAATTCTGCTAATGCAAGAAAATATTTATAGGCTGGTATAAGCCTTCATTTCTTTGCCATAAGACTGTGCTTTGCTTTGTGTGGAGAACCCAACCACAGTGAGCTGGGACTGCTTGAGGCAAACTTACCAAGTTTATGCTGTGCTGTCCCTCATGGGAATGTTTCTCTCATGAACAAAATTGTCTTTACTCCTCTATGCAGTTATTTTACCACAGAGATTACTCTGAGCAAGTAAACAAAGTGAACCTCTTCTTTCACTGTCCTGCCTGATAAATAAGTTCCAATATATCTGCAAAGTTAAATGATAGAATCAGGACAAACAGAAAATGTTTTACACTTTACAGGTGCAGAGACAAGCAGCTAGCCATTTCTGGTGAATTTATTTTCAACTTCCTTGGGAAGATTAAGCTAGCTGGAGAGTCTTCAGAAACATTGAGCCACTCAGAGGGGCTTTCTGCCTGTTGTTTTCTGTATTGATATATTGGCTTGGGCTTCAGGAGCCTCCCCAGCATTTTCTGCTCTGCCTTCCTCAGAGCAGCAGCTTTCAATCCAAAGAGTCACCATTTAGTCAGAGCAGAGACTGGGCTTGTCTTATGTGTAGTTCCTATCTTCTTCCTAAGAGTTTTTTAGAAACAGAAAATATTTTTTTTTTAGAAAAAATAAGAAACATTGAAGAAAGAGGATCTCAGTGGGAATGGTCCAGCTACTTCAGTTTTATGACAGCTTAACCAAGTGTAGCTGTCAGTGTGTGGGGTAACTCAGTAAAAGGCCACCCCTAAGTGCTCTTAGGTCAGCTGGGAGTAGTCAGGTGTAGCTCTTGAAAAGCAAAAAGGACCAAATGGGTCCAGTACATTTGCATTTAGCATGACCATACAACTGTAAAATAAAGGGAATTCCAAAAGGAAACCCTTTTTGTCACACAAACACTGAGCCAGTGCAAACAAATCTGGCAAGGCTGAGGGTCCAGCTCCCTGGCCTGAGCATCACAACACCATGGGTAATGTCAGGCTGTCAGATACTGCTACTGTCACCACCCTATCACTGAAAATGTCTGTGAATTTCACTAGTTTGCAGAAACTGTCAATGAATATCTTAATCCATAAGCATAGAAAACACAACTATTTTACCATACAATTGTGGAAGCTAATCCCTGGCAAGGTCATTACTTTCACCACTTCCCTTGTAATCCCCCTCATACACATACAGAATAAGGCTCTGAAGCCTAATCTTTCCATTGCTGAAAATGAGACTTTTATGCAAACTGATAAAAGTTCTTTGTTTGATTTATCTGTAAACCAAAATAGTCTGGTAGTTTGCCTTGAAGTTAAAAGAAAAAAACATACTCTGTCAAATCCAGTGTATTCCTTTTTATGTATTTTGTCATTTCCCCTCTATTAACTCTGTCCTAAGGTTGAAAAGAAGAGTGCACTCCAGCTTCCATTTACATACTGTACTTTAGCTTTGACTTTTTTTTTGCAACCTGTTAAATTTATTGACTATAAGCCCCTTGAGCTATTGAAGAGTATGCATCTTACATTAGATATCTTTTGAAAGATGCTACTGGTAGGCTGTTTTAATGTGTTTGCTCTCTCCAGATACAATTTGTCTTACATATTCATTGGTTTTTAGTGCCAAGACCAGTTTCTTCATTGTAGCTGTTGTTTGGAAGTCTCGCTCAGATATTAAGGTTTAGTAATTTTTCAGTGCTGCTCAAGGGATCTGAGTGTCAAGTGAAATAATGAGTGGGATTTTGGGCATTGAAAACCCCTAAGCAGCTGGCTTTGGAGATCTCAATAAAAAAAAAAAAAAAGGATATAATTCAAGATGGCATGAAAGACACTTTGGGACATCTAGGATGTTTTATATGGACAAATAGAGCTGGCCAAAAAGTAGTACTTTCCATTTCCTGACAATTATATTTCATTTTAATTTCAAGATTTCATAAAGCCTAAAAGTCAGAGAAAATTTCATTTGCAAAATGCTAGCACATGGAGCTGGGAAAACAGAATATGTTCCCTGCATACTGCAGCTGCTTTTTCTAGTGATGGAGCTGACTGGAATGCTGATTTCATTAAGCAAGGGCTCTGGGTGGGAAGGATCTCCTTTCAGATCAGTCAGGGCTTTCAGGTGCTCAGTTTCATGGAGAGGGTCCAGAATCCTGGAGAGAGGATCTCAAGGCACCCAGACTTCTCCTGTGAGCCTGGTCTGGAGTGTAGGAATGGGATACTGTGTATTCTGGAGTTCTGGCTCTCACTGATAGCAGCTCATTCCTGCACTGAGCCCTGATGAGAGCTTTGGAATATCATTTGTTCCACAGTACAGGTGTTTGCACCTGGAATCTGAGCAGGCAGGACACCCACACAGCATGGATTTCACAGGACAGAGTAGAGACAGCTGGATTGGGATTTTCAGATTTATACTGCCATAAGTATCCTGCCTGCTCAGCTTAAACATGAGCTGTAGCATTCCTCAATTGGTAGCCAGCACCCCAAAATCTGTTGTGCCTCTGGGACAGAACTTGGACATCTCTTCAGATTGTCTGCATCCTGCTCTGTGTGCAGTCACTTGGCAACAGTCACTTGTACACTTGTACACCTGCTGTGGTGTATTTGTATTTCTAGAAAATCCATACCAAAAGTCAAACTCCTTTCTCTCTGAAACTCCGGGCACTGCCTGTGTCTCCAGTGAGGTGCAGGTGAGATCTCTGCGCGCTGCAGCCCACGCTCCACACTCTTACCAGTTCATGCCAAGCTTCCAGTTTTTCCATCCAGATGTTCATACCTTCCAAATCTGTTTTTCTGAGGAACATCTGTGGCCCCATCAAGTGTAGAAAAAGAAAGGTAGTTCAGTGAGTGTTTCACATGGAAAATACTAATTATGCTTTGGCTTTCAGTGAAAAAAGGTGGGGAGGTCATGGTGTCCCCATCCCCATTGTTGGTTTAGAACCTCTGTGGCCACATCATTGTGGGGGTGATCTCTCCCTACAGGGAAACCAAGAGAGCCTAAAATATTTCCATGCCATTGTTTTCATAGCACCTAAAAACTTTTACAGGCACAGATGTTGCAGCTATTAATGAAATAAATGTAGTTTAAGTTACATTTACTCTATAGTAGAGTGGAAGAGAGATATCTTCTGGCTTATAGTGCACATGTCAAGTAAATGCAATTGTCTATTTCTGAAGTTTTATAGTCCCCATCATCATAATTAACTTAAGTAAAACTGTATTTAGCTTGCATATGACTTCAATTTGCTGCAAAGTAAATCACCAAATAAATCAATAATTTACAACCTAGCAAACAGCGCAGAGTTCTCCAGAAGAAAAAACAAACAAACAAGCAAGTCTTTATGCCTGGGCTTTTCTGAATGCAGCACTGCTCCTTATCTTGCTTCTCTGAGAGAAATGTGACAATTTCCAACACCAGACATTTTCACTCAAGCAAGCAGGAATCATGTAAAACCAAACAGATAATGACACGAAACAAAGCTTTGATTAGGAGCCCGTGAATAATGATCCTTTTCACATATTCAATGTCTAGGATGTTTAACATATTTTACATTTATAGTATATCAAGCAAGTTGCCCTGATTAGAATTTGATATCAAGAGAAACACATTTTATTAGACAGGGAGCGTGTCAGGGCTTGGTGCCAATCGGCTGCAACGAGTTATGCTACAAACACATCCAACACCCACATTTGGAGAAGTGCAAGAGTGAACATGTTTCTTATGTTCCTCTTTCCTGCTCTGTTTTCCTACAAAAATCATAAGAGGCAAGTAGAAGTTATCTCTTGGTTCCTACATAGGAATAAAAAGGTGAAAGAAATTTTCCATGGCATAGAGAAATCACAGGTTTATATTGTTGAAAATTGCTGTTGGGCTTGGATGCTTTTGTACAAGTCATTGCTATGGAGACTGTATTAATTGGCTGCGTTTCTCATGTGGGGGTAGGTAATACTCAGTGAACTCAAAAGGTGGAGAAAAATAATTTTGATATGTGTTAAATTAGTTGGTGTTTCGTGTTGCCAGGAGTGTGGCAGGGACCAAAAGCACAGCAAAAGACTGAAACTTGGGGATATTTAGAATAAAGAGAACATCCATAGGTGAAGTATTTAAAATGAGTTTGGGACTAGGGGCTGTTAATCCTGATTTCAGAAAGCAATAAAACTCCCTCATGTTTCATTTCACAGCATGAGCCACATATTTTCCTGATGAATACTGGAAAGGTATTTTGACTGTACATATCTAATTCCACATTTATCATAGAGATCTGGCACCTTGCTCTAGAAGTTCTAGTTCTGGCTAGCAATGGGAAATAGTTACTAGAAGAGATGACCCACAAACACTACCCTGGTGAGTCCCTTCCTTGGAGGAAGGATTTTATACAGCTTCTACACTGGTTGGTGCCCTTTGTGTCTTTCTCAATGTATTTGCAACAAAAAGCTACTTATCCTACATCTGTGGTACTATCACATTTACACTGAGGTCTCATGTGGTATTACAGTAATCATTGTACCTTTAAGATAAATATTTTACAGAGGATCAATGCAAAATTATATTGATATGTATGTGTCTATAAGCAATGAAAAGATATCCTTTAGAACATGTCACATTTTGTTTTCTGCACTATATGCTAATATGAAGAAAAATTGTGACTGCATGCAACCCCCTGAAGTCAGAAGTAGAAATATAATTATATATCAGAAGGAGAACATTTTAAAGGTTAAAATTTCATTGTATTTCCATAGATAGAGATATTTGTATTTCATTAACTAAAATGACTCTTGTCTCTCAACACTTCAGGAAAGAAATAATTTTTGCATTTGTTTTGAGATGAGTGAATATAATCCCAAATCTTTTATTTGCATCAGTGTGCAATGTGCCCTTTTCTCAAATGAGGGCTGGGTGTATTTGCAGAGCAGACACAGAAGTGTGTCTGATTACCTCACCATTTCTTTGTACCCAGCATAGAGGGAGGCGAATTAGAACTCATCAGCAGGAGGGGATTTTGTTTTCTTCCCAGCCAAAGCATCAAAGAATCCCAGAGCCCAGTTTAAGCTATTCAGACTGAAAATAGACTGAATTTTTCTTCATGGTTCCAGTAAATACTTGTGTATTACTTACAGTGAGATTCTTTCAGGAGGGATGCTGAGAGCTGTAAACACCCATGTTGACGATAATGCTCAGTAACCAGACTCAGGCCTTTCATGCAGCTGCAAGATTTGCTGAGCAGAGCTGTGAGAAAACAGCAGCGTTTGCAAAAGCCCAGGTATGGTTACAGGTATACAGGCAAAAAAGTCTATTTGCCAATACATCTTTCTGTTTAGAGACCTACAGTACATTCCAGTGTGTGCCAGCACAGCTCCACCTGCAGACAAAACACTTCAAATATGAACAAGGTGAAAGACGGCTAATTGATTAGGCTGTATGTCTCAGAGCTTTACCATTTGGTGTTCCTTATCCCTCCTGGGGTGTAGGTTATTGATACTGAGAGATTTAGTTCCTGACTCTGCAGTTTTGATTCCTGTGGTGTACATGATGCTAAGCCATGTCCCTGATTGCCCAGAGCAGAGAGAGTTTGAAGAAAGCCAAAGGAAACAGCTGGAGCGCCCTTAGTGCTGGCAGCAGGCAGTGTGCTCTGAATGCTCCATGAAATGAGATTTGGGTGCATGCAGCATTTGGTGCTCTGCTACCATGTACCAGCCCTCACGAACCAGCACCTGGGCAGGAGACACAGCAGAAGGTTGTGCCTGGTTTCTGCTGATAGTTATGAGCAGCTTGATATTTTCAGTATTTTATGTCAGAAGTCTGTTCCCTGGCAGAATTGTGGGTGTGTCTAATTAAAAAGTGATTTCTTAAGACTTCCCAAGACCTTGTTTTCTATTGCAGAGGTATTGCTCATGGTAACAGTTAAAATTATCTGTCACAGATCACGGAAATCCTCATTTCCTGTGGAAACACACTGGTCCAGACAGCACTTTGGCAGAAAGCATTTCTTTCCTTTGGCATGTGGTGTAAAGGGAAAAGAGAAACAGGGACAGGAAAATAAATGAGACCTCAAGTTGCTAAGGTTGCTCTTCTAGAAAGCCAAGATGTGGGTCACATCTTTGGTGTGACCTGAACAGAGCAGGGGTCATTGAATTATTGATTCAGAGAATTGTGGAATCATAGAATGGTTTGGGGTGGAAGGACCTTTCAAGGTCTTCTAGTTCAGCTCCCTGCAATGAGCAGGGGCACCTTCCCCTACATCAGGCTGCTCAGAGCCCTGCTCAAGCTCGCTTTTCCAGGGATGGGGCAACCATCACCACCTCTCTGGGCAACCTGTTCTACTGTTTCACCACCCTCATTCTGAGGTGAGGATGTGACTCCAGCTCCTGCCTTCTGGTCATCTTCCTTTTCAGTGGAACTTGGCCATGTTAGGGGTAGGGCAGGGTAGTATGTCATGCTTCTTTTTTTTGGTTTGTTGGTTGGTTGGCTAATTTTTGGGTTAGATTATTTTTTTTTTCTTTAGCTGTTGTTAGCTTTCCAATAGAGATGAGGAGTATTTTGTATCTTTAATAACTTTTGCAGGCAGGAAATTCTGCTGCCTCACCCTGGCAACCTCACTAACCAGCAATCTGCCTATTCTCTGTGTCATTTCTGTATGTAATGGGCATTTCTTTGTGACACATACAACATTTGTTGCTACTTTCTTGCAGCTGTGTGAAGCTCCCATTTGACATATGTTTCCATGGAATTAGTTAAATTGTGCAGCGAACAGATTCTCTGTTTCTGCTCAGTGTAGCAGGGAAGGTAAAGGTTATCCCCACCATAGGACACGGGGAGGAGTGGTCACTCCTCCAAGCTGCTTCTGGAGCTGCACTGATGGTGTTTGGTGAAGCAAATCTGCTGCAAATTACAGCATGTGGTTATAGATCAATTTATGCTCCTGCCTGCTGCCAACAATGTGCTGTGCACCAATGGAGCTAACTCGGTAAACATGCACTCGAGTAACTGAAAATAACCAAGTGTTGTTGAAAGGAATAATTAATTAATGTTTGTAAAGCACTTAGAAACTGAAAAGCACCTTATTAGTGCTAAGTGTTCAGGGGCCTGGCTCTCTCATCAGAAGGTAAAGTCCTCGTCTTTGTTAGTCTTAACTGAACAAAGCATTAAGGGTATAAAGCCTTTGTGTCTAATGTCCTCAGTCAGGTGTTTTTGTGCCTGGCAGTCATTAGGATGCAGTAAGTAAACAAGAAGAAACTATAAATGGCCTGAATCAGCTCATTTCCACTGATGCCAGCAGAATCAAGTTGATTTACATTAGCTGAAGATCAGCCAGGGAGAATCCAAAGCACAGCTACTCTCCTTGATGTTGGGCTCAGCCAGAGCCAGTCACTGGTTTATTCTCTGCAGCTCCTGCCTTTGAGAGCCCAGCTGCCAGGAATGAGCACAAAACTGTATCAGGGCACAGGGTTCTCTGTGCAGTGAGGTGGACAAATTGGATGGCTCAGATTTGCTCCCTGGGGCAGGCAGCACGTCAATGAACAGCCTCTTGGTGGAGAGAAGGATTCCTATTTATCAGCTGTGCCATGCAGGGCTGAAAGGGGGACACCTATGGCTGACCCAGGCCCAGAGCTCAGGAACATGGACAGTAAGAATCTTTTCCTTTACTTCAAATGTGCCTTGGCTCCCTCAAAACAGCTCCAACTCTTCCTGAAGCAGAAGTCACTGACTGAAGGGGGGATTTACTGGGAAGGGTTAGAGGGATACGAGCCACCCAGAACAGAACCATCTGGGGAGATGTGGATGTTCCTGGGAGTGTGATCCAGCCCCAGCAGCCCTCAGCTCCTGCCACACACAGTGTGACACCACACCTTCTGTGCAGCCATCCAAGGGCTGCTCTGCTCCTCCAGGAAGGTGCAGCCCACAGTCAGCATCCCTGCCTGCCCAAGAGGGTGCCCATCTGTACTTCACTCTCTGTAAATAGATCAGAAGCTGTGGGAGCAGGAAAAGGGGAAGGAGAGGGGAAACACTCTTATGGCACACAGGGAGCTGCTGGAAAGTGTTTAAGACTAATTGGCCAGAGAGCACAGAGAAAAGCACTGGCCTGTCCAGCACAGCACACACTTTTAAGATTTTTGTATCCCTTTACCACACAAGTTTCCTTTCTTCAGCCAGAATTTTTCAGGCTAAATTTGATTATATTGGGCATCTGTTCCATATTTATGAGTATCCAGGACCTCCATCACTCACACTTAACTTCCAGATGAATGAAAAACCCAATAATGTGCCCGTTTATGGTGCATGAGCAGTGTGCCCACATATGCATCACACGCAGTCACTGCCAGGAGTGCTGGGAGAGGGAATCCAGTCTTTGATCACTTGGGTGTTTCTTCTCACAGGAGATCAGCAGCCCTTTTTTTTCTACTGGACTAATTGGCAGAGTAAGAAAGGTTACCTGCCAAGAAAATCCAATTAATCAGCCCTTGCTGCTCCTGAATAAAGCTCCATGGCTGATAAAGGGTTGCAGTCAGAGAGAATCAAAGTAAGCCACCAGGACATCAGATATTCCGTTTTTTCAATCTCTGCACCAGCCTAGGGCAGAGTATGTTTGGCTCACTTCAGTGGCAGTGCTGGAACACAGTGTGCCAGAATTCCCCTCCATGATGTCTCTGGAAGAGCTGAGCATTACTAGGATTGGTTAACAGTTATCTTTGTGATTAGCCATCTGTTACAGATCCATTTATTGAATCTGAGAGGGGACAGAACCCTTGCACATCCTGCTTGCTCCTCACTTTGCTTGAGCTCACCATAGGGAGTTTTGTACAAAATGCATAAAGAACAACAACAACAACAAAAAGCTTATTTTAAAGGGAAAAAAATCTTGTGGCTCTGTGTATAGTAAAAGTCATTATCATTTGCCTTTATCAAGATCACAGGATTAGAGCACTGGATAATTTCTTTCTGGAGGTTGGAGAAAGGAATTGAGAGGTCTCAGAGGTCCAAGCAAGATTCTGGAGCTGCTCACTTGTTCCCAGTAACCTCCTGCCCCACAAATCCATAGCTATGGAAGGGAAAACTTGGTGTCAAATCCTTACATACCCTGAGTCTATTTCAGCCAAAGTATCCAAGTTAAGAAATTTAAGAGAGCCAAAGGCTTTGTTTCTAAGTAGATCTAAGTAGATTTCTGAATCCAGATGAAGTTATTTGAGTGACACACCCAAAGAGTCCAGCACAGGCAAATGACCCAATAGAAGGATCCACAGATGTCAAGGCAGAAGGTGAATTTTTGATAATTAATTCTTTCTCCTGGGTTATGTGCTGCTAATTGACTTGGCAGCAGCACCATCACTGTGATTCATTGGCTCTTGGATTTTAGGCCAGAAGCAGCAACGATGATGGTCAGGTCTTCCTGCCTGCAAAGCAAAGCCCACAGAACCTCACTTGGTGCTTTCTCCACCAGCCCCCCAAATTCTGCTTAAATTATCATTTTTATTGAAAACCAAGCTTATTAAACAGATATGCAATAGAAAATGCATCAGGTGCTTGGGTAAGTAGATCTAAATGTAATTGTTTTCTTTTAAATTTGCAGCTTATTTTTGGTATAATATTTATATTGATATTTCCATATGATTCTATTTTTTTTTTTTGTCTAAATGAACCCCAGGAAAATTAGGAAAACAGACAAAAAAAATTGTCTTTGTTTTTTAATTTTTAAATTAATCAGAGGTATCCTAAGTGCATGAAATGGAACAGTTTAGCTCTCAAGTAGTTATGATACAGGTATCCAGGTGAGCCAGCAGTCACAAAGATGTTATTTCTTTGTTATGTCATGATCATATCACGTACCTGTCTCATCTGTAAGTAGAATATTAACCACCATGAACCTTCAGGAGCTGAGAGAAAACATGGTGGGTTCCCAAAGGTGCAAGTGGACTTGTTTGTGTTTATAAATAAGCCACCGAGCTGATGTGATTAAACAGTTACTCCATCAGTGTCTTGGCCCTTCTTTTCTCCATCTGGTAGGCAGGCAGGCAGATTAAATATATGCCATGTGTTTGTTTTCTGCAAAATGAGCTGTGTTAGTATTTCTTGTCACTATGAGGTGGTACCTACCAACCATACCAACTATATTGATTGACGTTAAAAAATGAGGAGTTACCAGGAACACAATGACATGCCACCCAAAGAACAGTATTTTATTAAAGGACATGGCAGCAAACCATAATTTTTATTTTAAAAAAGCTCAATTA